CATGGTATCCTGAGCACAATTCTCCAGCACCACATCTCATAGAATCCTAGGTTTGGAAGAGACCCCTTCCAAGGGCCATTCCAATCCAACCCTCTGCCATTCAGGAAGACACAACCAAAGCACCCCCAGCAGATTGCCATATAGAAAAGCTGATCCAGAAGAAAATGCTTATTTTCACTCGTCTTTCCCAAATGAATCTTGCACCATGGTTGGTATGGTCTGCCATCAAAACATCGCAGCAGTGCCCAATCCCTGCTTGCTTTGACCCAGCAAATGAAATGGTGGATTGTTTCTATCATCCACAGCTGAAAAGTGACTTTTTGGACTGGAAGTCTATGTGGGGAGAGGGGATGTTGCTATGCTGGACAGGAGCCTCTGGGAGCTGCAGTCCACCAAAATCTCCCCTTCCTCCATGCTTTGATAATTCTTCCAACAAGCTAAAAGGGAATTTAGAGTTGTGGAGAAGCAGGTCTTGAGTAAATCTGAATTTATGTAACTCCATATTGTGGGGTGTGCATGGGTGGGGGAAATCCCAACCGGTACAAAAACGAGTTAACATTATGATCTTAATTAGAAGGCTTGAGAGTTTGGTGGAGTGTGTCATATGCGTATATAGAGGGTGGAGTCCATAGGGATGAATGCACAAATGCCTCCAGCAAAGAATTCACCTGGGGGTGAAAACTGGATGAGAAAGAGAGAGAGAGAGAGCGCAATGACTCCTTCCAGGAGCCTTCTGATAGACATCGCATCAAATGGTTGAAAGGCAGCACCTCAAGATCGAGGATGAGCTTTCCCTGGCTGCTGGTATCTCCAGATGTTTTTGACATCAACTTCCGCCAACATGTAGCCAACATGTTGGAAGCTGTAAAGCCACCCACAATAAAAAGAATCTGAAGAATTGGAGAAGACTGCCTTGTACCTTCAAGGGGAGAGCTAACTGAACACTTTCTTTCTAGGATGCTATTTTTCTACGTGCATGGGACAAGATTCTACATAATGGTTCACATTTTGTAACTTCATGAATTTGGAGCTATGTTGCAAAAATGCAGCAAAACCCTGTTAATGAATTGTGAAGCTGTGCATCTGGGCACTGGCAAGAGTGTTCAAATGCAAACCTAGTGCTTCTCGTGCACATCAGGTGGTCCTAGTAAGCATCAGGCACTTCTGGTACACATTGGGTGTTCCTGTTGCACTCCAGCACTTCCTAACCAATGTCCAGATGCACATCATGCCAAATGCACATCAGGGCCATGGCACATAAGTCATTCCACTGCCTATCATTGTGCACCAGACACCCACACATTGTAACATTATGGAAGCTCCTAAGCAAATACAGCTGTTGTAAAACTCCTCGGTTCTTTCCCCCCCACACACACTTAAGTCTACTAAAAAAGATATATATATCATGTCGAATTCCAGCCATGGATTTTTACAAAGTGAGTTGGCATCCTGTTGGTGACATTCTTGTTGTCTTTTTGCTGTCTAGTTGGCTTTGATCCCATGAGTGGGAGACGTTCAAAGCAGGCATTAAGTTCCCATATGTAGGCATAAGTTCCACTCCAGAAGCAGTTTTTGATTTCTCCCCAATGTAGAACAGCTGTATTCAGTTCAAATTTGCAGAAGAGGAGGTATGCATGTGGTGCCATTGTGCACTGATGCACATTGAGGCATGATGTAGATTTGATTGTGCAATGTCACAATTCTCCAACAAGGGGAATTCTCTAACAGCATTAATCCACTGCTATTTAATTTCATGAGTGAACTCATCAGTTTAAGATCTTGGCCATGTTTTGAATGGAGTTATATTTGGCGACCTCTACAGTCTGCAGTATTATAATCAAAGCTGAGAACTAGGCTAAAGAAAGCTTCTATTGTTAGCTGTTCCTCTTGAATTTTCAACTTCACAAACTCTACTTGTGACCTGTTAAGTCAATTCTTCAAAGATCTTAATCTGCTCTTTTGCTATCTTTGGTATGTTGTCTTCAACCAGAAACCTTTACAAGAACAACTCAGGCTGACACTACACTGCCCTGCTTGCTGTCACTGTCTTCATTCATAAATGTTTAAATAAATTCCAAGAGGTATGGGGCATAGGAAAGGCTGGGAACATTGGTTTAAAGGAACTTTCTCTCCCCTTGTGTCTGCCAAAGAGTTTGCCTGCAACTCCCAGGCATTGCGTTATTGCTGAATTTTATGTTTCAGGCAGATGGTATCCCACCTAGCTGGAATAGATCCAGAGAAAGGTAGGCAAGATGATCAGGGGTCTAGAAACCATGCACTGAAGAAATAATGTTTGACTACACATTGACTGGCATGGCTCAATGCTACTGAATTTTCAGATTTGTAGTTAGTTGTGGCACCAGATCTTTCTCACAGAGAAGGCTATCACAAAACTACAGATTCCAGAATTCCATAGCAATGAGCCAAGGCTGCTTATGTGTTGTCAAACTGTATTATTTCTGCAGTGCAGATGCAGCCCAAGCCTTAGGAATGACTTAGGGAGCTGGGTTTGTTTAGCTTGGAGAAGAGACGACTGAGAGGTAGCATGATGGCCATCTTTAAATATCTAAAAAGAGATCATGTAGATGGTGGAGGGAGCTTGTTTTCTGCTGCTCCAGAAATGTGAACCAATGGATTCAAATTACAAGAAATAAGATTCTGCCTAAACATTAGGAAGATTATTTTATTTTTTCATGTAAGAGCTGCCTAACAGTAGCATAGATTGTCATGAGGAATGGTGGGTTCTCCATCTTTGGAGGTCTTTAAATAGAGGTTGGATGGGCCTGTTTCAGAAGTGCTTTAGTTGTGTATTCTTGCATGGCAGATTCTATAGAGAACTCTAGTTAGCAGGTAGTTTGAAAGTGGCATAAATAATTTTCCAACAAGCCCCCATAACAGGATGAATGGTGAGGAATCATGGGAGTTGAAGTACAAAACATATGGAGAGTACTAAGTTCAAGAAGGCTGGTATATTGCCGCCAGCAACAAAAATCCACCCCTTAAATCTTGATCAGATTTAACTCTAGAAGTATCTTTAGATACCACAACCCAAAGCTACATCAAACCAACAAATGTATATATGGGGAATTATAGTCAGCTCAAATGAAATTGGCTGTGTCAGGAACCTTGTTGCCACTGTTCACAAGTTCAGCCTAGACAATGAAGAAATGGAAGTAGTAAAAGAGTTCTCATACCTGGGATCAAACATTGATAGAAATGGGGACTGCAGCCACGAAATCAGAAGAAGGCTAAGAATGGGGAGAATGGCTATGAAAGAACTAGAAAAGATCCTAAAATGCAAAGATATACAACTGAGCACAAAAGTCAGAATCATACAAGCCACTGTATTCCCTATTCCCATGGATGGATGTGAGAGCTGGACAGTCAAGAAAGAAGATAGGAGGAAAATTAATGCATTTGAGAGAATGTGAGGCTGGAGAAGAGTGCTGAGGATCCCATGGACAGCCAAAAGGACAAACAAAGGGGTCCTAGAGCAGATCAAGCCAGAGATATCCCTGGAAGAAGCCAAGATTACAAGACTTAGACTGTCGTACTTCGGACATATCATGACAAGGGAGGGCTCTTTGGAAAAGACAATGATGCTGGAAAAGGTGGAGGGAAGTAGGAAGAGAGGAAGACCACATGCCAGATGGATGGACTCTATTAAGGAAGTCATAGGAATGGGTTTGCAGGAATTAAGCAGAGCAGTGGAGGACAGAGGGTCTTGGAGATGTCTCATCCATAGGGTTGCCATGGGTTGAGATCAACTCAAGGGCAGTTAACAATAAAATACCAGGTTAGAAGATGTAAAGAAGTCCAGAGGCAACTCCAAGTTACAAGTTTTATTTTAAAAGAGACAGAAGTCCACACACACATGCACACACACTTCCATTACGAATGGGAAACAAAGAGTTAAGTTGGAATAGAAAAGGCTTAGACCTGAATGTGATGGCAGCTTCTTCTGCTGATAATATTAAGATGGACAATACTCATTGCTTGTCTTGATAGAGAAGAGATGAGAGGTATAGCCAAACTGGCAGCACTTCTGCCTGGAAGCAAACTATGCCAAGAACAACGGAAGGCTTGGGGTTTAAATAGGATTTTTGGATGCTCTATGCAAAAGGGACCAGAGCTTGCACTGACCATATTAAAGAAGTCTTCGATGTGCATCTTATATACTTTTGGCAATGAAAAACCTGCAACACCAGTTGCTTGGTTGTTTGGAAAACCTATTTTCGAACTTCTTTTGAATTTGAGGGTGTTTGGGATTTCTTGCAGCTCTTTGGAAGTCTTTCTAGGGAGACGCTTTTACAATAACCAAGTATGATGAGACACTTTCGTTTCTAACAAGGTCATATAAGGCTAGGAGTAAACAATCTGCTTGCCTTCTCATTGCAGGAGGGGTAAAGATTAATCTGGGATTAGCATTGTAAACTTCCACAAGACAGCAAGAGGTACTGTAATAAAAATAGCTTCCTGAAATTGTGGTAGTGTGCTCTGCTTATCTTTGCACTCTACAAAAAAATGGTTTTAAAGTCTTTGCTTTTAAATGAGAAAAAATGGAAGGAAGGAAGGAAGGAAGGAAGGAAATGTTATAGGAAGCACCATAGCAAATGTAAAATTAATACATGCACAGATTAAATATAAAATTTTAAGCCTTACAAACAGGGCGGGCAGTCTGTCTGTCTGTCTCTTAAGAATGGACAGCAGTTCCTATCACTCCTTACTTTTTCCAAGCTTGTCTAGAACTGATGAGAGGTCCAGTCCAACAATACCTGCATAATTCCCACTGTGATTTAGGCCCACCTTGGAGATAGCCACCTTAAACCTGTGTTGTGGATATGCCCTGGCTATGCAATTAGCCTACAACACCTAGTAGTTGTTGTTGGCATCCCATCCAAGTAGTAACCAGAACTAATGCTGCTTAGCTTCCAAGATCAGATGAGATCTAATTCCTTTAGGATATTTAGGTCTCTCACAGGATTTACTTCCAAGAAAGAGCCAAAGTGGTGTAGTGGTTCAAGTGTCTGACTGTGGCTCTGGAAAGCAGGGTTCGATTTCCAGCTTGGCCATGAAACCCACGTGACTTTGGGCAAGTCACATGCTCTCAGCCTCAGGGCACAATGTCAAACCTCCTCTGAATGAATCATGCCAAGAAAACCCCATGATAGGTTCACCTTAGGGTCACCATAAGTCGGAAACAACTTGAAAGCACACTACAACCACAAGAGAAGGCTTCACTCCAAAGAAATTCTTTTATTTTATTTTACCCTCTACATTCGAGGGAAACCTTTTCCAAGGAAAAGCATGCATGCAAGCAATGCCCAGTGTTCCTGCAACCAACCTGGCAAAAGCCAAGAGACTGTTTTCTCAGAATCACTTTCCATCATGTTCACCAACACACCCTTCTTTTAACTTTTTGTTGCTATGAATCATTGCACCGGTTGGTTCAGTCTCCTCTTGGTAGGTAGCCAGGCACAGCAGAAAAATAAGGAGAGATATAGGCTGGAATTTGTCAGAGGACTTGTGTCTCTAAGTGGATTGATGTGGGCAGAAAATATAATTGCATTTTGCCATGTCCATATTCACCAAAGGGCTGTTACAACGTATGAGTGTCTCTTGTGCAGTGTTGGCCAGTGGAGTGACTGATGTGCCATGACCGTGATATACAACAGGTACGGATGTTCATTGTGGCACTTCCAGTGTGCATCTGGACACCAACAAGGAAGTGCTGGAGCACAAAACTGGAAGTGCCCAACGTACGTCACAAGAGCCCAAAGTGCATCGGAAATGCCTGATGAGCATAGAAACTGCCCAGAGAGCATGAAAAGTGCCCAATGTTCATCAGAAGTTCCTGATGGAAGCAGTCTTGCCAGTGTCCTGATACACAGCTTCGCAATTCACTAACAGAAATCCAATCTGCACTGCAGAAATCATGCACTTTGACACCGCTTTAACTGCCAAGGCTCAATGCTATGGGAGTTCTGGGATCTGTAGTTTGTTGCGGCACCAGAGTTCTCTGACAGAGAAGGCTAAATGTCTCACAAAACTACAATTCCCAGGATTCCTGATCCTGACACTGATCACAGTAGTTAAAGTGGCGTCAAACTGCCACCTCCAAAATCCCAGGACATCCCAAAAGTAGCTTTGCTTCCTTCCCATACTGAAGTTCTTTTCTGCTCCTGCTGGATTAAAAAAAACCTTATGAGTTACTAAAAGGTTATATTTGGAAGTGTTTAACAGCTCCTGTTTGCACAGTGTATATTTAAACAAGCTACTTCTTGCCTGTTTCCTATATTGGGAAGGAAGAATGCGTGGTGTGTCTCATCTATCTAGAGTCTACTGTACAAGGTACAAAAACTTCCTCCAGAAATAGGTTGCGTATTTGGCCAGTGGTAGGGCACCAGTGCACAGTGGATGAGTGTTGAGCTAATACACTGAGCCAATGTAGCAGCTGAGGGCAATGCACCTCTCTGGACAAGAGCAGATGGGATTTGTAGTCCAACACAACTAGAAAGCATCAGAATCAAAATCAGGGAGAGCATCTACAGGACATAAGGTTCAGAATCACAGCTAAAGGGTACCAGGTTCAGAATTAGAGGGCTGGTTTAAATGCTCCCCAGCCCAAAAGAGAGAGACAGCATGATGTCATGGTATGAACATTGGAGAAGTACTCTGTGAGACAAGGATTCAAATCTCCACCAGCCATAGAAATCCATTTGGCAATATTGGGCAACACGCACTCCCTCGGCCTCAGAGGTAGGCAATGCCAAACCTCCCCAGAATAAATCTTGCCAAGAAAATCCTAGGATAGGGTAGCCATAAGTCAGAATTCACTTGAAGGCCCAAAACAAGAAGAAAAAGCACCAATACTTCCCCCACTACAGTTGTCTGAAATATGGCAGCCCTTATTCCCTCATTCAGGGTACTGTGTTGACAATACTCATTCAATCCCCCACCATCATCATGAAAAAAACCATTTTAGTCTTTGGAAAATTAAAGGAAACAAAACCTCAGTCTCAGTCCCAAGGCAAGGAAACACAAGTGCTTGAACTCAGAAGCGACAGATACCTATAGTGGCAGTAAGAGCCACTACAAGCACCGGGAGACTTTGCATTTGTGGTCTTTTCCCATTAATCCAGTAGAATGGAAGACACCTTGGAAACCAAACTCTGATTTAAACCAACTCTACCTTCCTGCTTCTTAAACCTGGCACCTCTTCTCCAACTCTCTTCTCCAACACACCTTTAAAAAATGAAATGGCATGGTTCTCCCACCCCATTCCTGCCTACTAATCTTGATTTCCTCAAACCAATGAATGATTGGGACGGCAGGCACTGTAATAGTGAATATTCTTTGTGGGAATCAAGAGCTTTGGAGAAAACAATATTTTATACTGCTTGGATTGCGCTTGAAGAGGATGTTAATTAGAATTTCATTTGATGAACAAAAAACAACTTTACCATTATTTCTTTGGCCTAAGAAGGCAAAAAAAATTAATAGGTCTTATTCTACAGTAACAATGAGTCCTTTTATTGGGTATGTCAAGGTTGTATCTAAATGAGATGGGTTTATAGGAAGAAACAGGATGGAGCATTTTATTCTGTGCAATAAAAATACCTTTTTCATAAGAGAATTCTAAATGGAAAAGTTACGGGTGAGAACACAATCTGAGCAAGCAGAGCAGAGTCCCAGAAAGCTCTAAATTGACCATTTCTCTGTGCGAGCCTCAACGGATTTGACCAGTCCTTCTCCCAAGATCCCAAAGTCTTCCAAAATGGCTTCCACATTGGGAACAGTCAGAGGATCCTTGTTGAGTGACGACATCATCCTTCCTCTCATGTTCGATGCCTGTGAAAAGAGCAACAGACATCGTATCAGATGATGGTTGGCATAAACCATGGTTGAGTTGAGGCATGGGTATCCAAGGAATTGCCTCACTATGCACCTTTCTGAAGAGAGGCCCTCTTTAAATACCATTGCCTTTGGAAACCCAGTGGATGGCCAGGTGGGAGAGGGTTTTGTCTTCTGTTGCTTCCTATCTGTGAAATACCTCGCTGCCTGAGACACAAGGCAACATTAATACAAGGCGGGGACCCACAAACTGTTGACACTTCTAGTGGTTGCCCAAATCACTACAAGTACTAGAGGACTCGCTCCCACGACTTTTAGGAAGTGTGTGAAGACATCTCTTTCCAACTGGACTCTGAAATTATGTTGATATTTATTACTGTGATAATAGCATGCAGTTTGATTGACTTTTACCTTTTATCTTTTATGGATTCTGTTTTAAATACAGTGGTACCTCTACTTACGAAATTAATCCGTTCCACAG